AACTCCTCTGGTGATGCTCCACATTCTAAAGGCTCCACAACCATCCCAAATAGCTCCACCAACTGAACAGCAAGTATTGTTTCTAGTTCAAACTACAATACTAGGGCTCAACACTATGTAGTTATTTTAGTTTCATTTCCGTTTCTCTGATAAAGTACTCTGACCAAACGCAAGTTGGTGGAGCAGGAGTTTCTCTTAACTGACAATTCTAGGTCATGGTCCATCACTGCAGGGAAATCAAGGCACCATCAGCTTCTTTAAGTATATGCGTGTCCTTACTTTACGCCTTCACAACTCTAGTGCAGGGAAGGGGTTGTGGATAAAAACACAGGTGCCACGTGGCTGTGTCTCCAAACAATGGGGCCAGTGGGCAGTGCACAGTTTCCTGTTTACAAACTACTACCTCATGAAAAGCAACGGAAATATTCACAGTGTCTCTGCCCCAGAAATGCGCAGCATTGCCTCAGAAAAACTCCACTCCTTGCTCTTCATATGCAGACCTGACTCTGACCTATTCAACATGGATTCAAATTTATTTGAGAATAAAGCAATTAATCAGCACAGCAGCTATCAGCTACAGGAAAATTCTGTTTATAACATATTCATTATCTTGTTTTACCTCTCAACAATCAAACCCAATAAGTACTATCGTAGTCATGCCATTATTAGAGAAGAAGACTGTTGGCAGAATGACATTTTTGTTTATTTTACACTAACAATACAGCCAAAAGTACTAGAACATACAGGTGAGAGCTGAATAGTTAGTCTGATTCTAACTTTGGCACCTCTATAGTCAGGACCCCAGAGTTCAGGTGAAGGTCATAACACAATCCTATTCACTGCCAGTTGAACAAAGAAAAGAAAGAAAATGAAAATGAAGAGCACAACACTTTCTTTTGCTCAAGATGCTTTAATGTCATCTCCCTGGAAATTTCCATAGCAATACAAATCTACAAAGACTCCAGTGAGAAAGCTCATTGCAACCCTCCTGGCAGCCACTGGACTTATGCAAACATGACCTGTACTATTGTCACGATATTCTATGTCATTTCTAGATTTTAAAGCTCTTTGTATATCTGTAAATGAAATTTCAGTGTAGAATCATAAAAATGGTAATAGTGTTTACTTTATATAACATTTTTAACACAGTGCAGTGTCATCACAATCCTGGCGAGGTAATTATAAAACAATGTAATATATGCTAATTTATACTACGCTGTACACAGTGAGGTATAATAATAGGACTCAAGTCTCAAGTTGTATGATGGATAAATAATATACATACAGTCAGCTCCTGTCACTCTTGAGGTATGTGCTCACAGCAAAATGTCTAGAGTCTAAACTGGAGATCCTAAAGGAGGTATCCACTCTCCCTAGGACAGGTGAATCCTGTCACCACCTATAATTGCTGACAGGGGTGTTATAAGGGACAGTGCATATAACACACACTACTATCACTGTTATCAAAAGGACAAACCAGCAGCTTCTACTGCAACTCTCCAAAGCAACTCCCATTTGATGTATTATTTATCATGGGATCATTGCTTTCTCTTCACTGTCTCTGAGAGCTGGACAAATGCCATTTTCACTGGTTGGCAAGCCTAATTTGGTGACCTCCAAGTCTGGGTCTCTAGCTAATCAGCCCAGGCCCTGTTCTCATCACTATTATCTTCTGAATCACCAAGAGTCACTGAAGACTCAAGTCTGCTTCTTGGACCTCACAGGCACTCTGCTGCTAAAAGCCAAGCTATAAGAAAAAGAGTGACACACAGACTAAGTTAGCATCTACCTAGTATTGGGCTATTTGAATTTGTACTTTAGCTGATACTTTTTGAGACACAGCCTCAACTAACTGACCTCCAGTTAGCTATGGGGCTCAGGGTGACCTTGGATTTCTGATCTCCTGCCTGATTACAGGAGTGTACCACCATGTTTTGGGAATCAAAGTTAGGTCTTTGAACATACCAAGCAGGCATTGTACCAATGAAGTTACACCCTCTGCCTTTAAATATTATTAAATGGACACTTTAAACAGAGGAATCATTTTACTTACAAGAGAGCAAGAGAACAAAACACTGGAAAAGAAAGTGTGAGGTTGCTTATGGAGAGTCGTTCACAGCTGAGATCCTAACACACATACAGTGAATAGCAGAAAAAGGAATGAAGAGACACATCAGATAGTGTTACAGAGTGTCTGAATGCTAAAATCTGATCTAGCTTTCACTGGGCAGGCAGTGGGAAGACAAGAACATTGAAACCATGAACAGGGTGGATTTGAACTGTAACAAAGACCATTGTAACAGTCTCAAGAGGGTGTTTTGGGAAAAAAAAGGATGAAAAGTGCTTGTTTTCATGCAGACCTTCATGGAAAAATTGCAAAGAATGAGTAGTCTCCTTCTGCAACTTTGATTACTATGATTAGCTGAGGAGAGACTAGTGAGTTCTCTGTAGTCAGTTGCAGAAAAGGTATGTAAATATGTTATTTCCCTAGAATTACCTCGGCACTTTTCTAAATTAATCTGTACTTGTGGAGAAATAAAAAAATGCCACACTGAGTCCATCTCAAGAGTGTTACAAAACAGTGTGTATAAAATCCCATTCACCAGAGTAGAGCCCCTAGGAATTCAGGATGAAGCCGCAATGAGCCTGTCCTAATTCCGCTACCTGAAACAAGGCCTGCTTTGATGTTGAGTGCCAGAAAAACAAATGATCACCATTGTAAGGAAGTCAACTGTAATTTTCAAGGTCCCCATAAGCAATACAGATGAAGTATTGAGCTACAAGAGTTCAAGTTGCTGAGAGGAGGGAAATGGTACATTCTGGTGAGAACAGCCTTGTATTTGGAGTGTGGGTTCTAATGAGAAGCAGCTTGGGCTTAGACAGGAACTACCCCAGTTTCTGACTGTGTGACCCTGAGTAAACTATTAGACTTCTCTAAGGGTGACAGTAACATCTAAGTTATAAGATGATAAAAAGAATAAATGAAATAATATGATCACCTATGCAGTGGTCAAAAGATTATAAATTGTATTTTGCTGCAAAGATCACTCAGACTGGTAGGTTCAGGGCAGACTGAATAGGGACAGAGCTGCAGAAGATGGAGTAGAAGCTATTTTATTGTTCATAAAGGAGAACACCGAAGTTCCAACATGGGAAAAAGGGATGGATTTGAGATACATTTTCCAAGAAAGCTAGACAAACTTTGCTTGATGGAACAAAGGGTGACTGTTACCTTTCTGGGGCTAGAACAGTATGGAGAACTGCATAACACATTAAATCCCTGGTATTCTTTATCATATATATATGCATATGTGCATATATATGTGCATATATACGTAAATATAGACTATATAATACACACATACATATATAGTATACATAATATACAACAACACAAGTCTCTTTGTTTTGTTTTTAACACATGAAATGGTTTTGTTGGGCAAAATGGAATAATACTGATTTAATGTAAGCATATCAATTTTTAAGAATATCTTATATTGAAAATACTCCACTTAACAGAAAGGACCCCACACACCCCCATTAAAAGTCAAACCAAAGCTCACACTGGCCTATGAAGTGTCCTTCTTGGCTTAGTGACAACATCTTAGGCTGACATCCTCTGATAAATCAGAAAGTTCTCACATATAAACTTCAGCGCTGGCAAGGAGCCAGCCGACTTACAACTTGAACATACAAATTTAGGAGAACTTAAGATTGCACCCTCCAAGAAAAGATAAATCCTGAACTCAGCTTTTAAACTACAATTGATGGTTCTTTGTGTTTCTGAAAACAGCAAAATGCTTCCCACAGTCATATTGTAACGGGTGCCAGTGAGGAAATACAGGTGGTGAAAGCACTAGGTCCCTTCCCTAGTGACAGTGGTCCAGAGCTCAAGAAGAGACTATGTGCCCAAAGACTGAAAGAACGAGAAGTGACTGGTTCAAGAAAAGAGTAGAGAGAAGATTGATGGTCTCAGGGTGTACAAGAAAAAGGCAGCAAGAAACAAGGAATGCCCTATGCTTATTCCACGAAAGCAGGAGAGAGTGGCCAAGAACCACACAGAAGGAAGCGTATGTAGAGTAGAAAGCGTAGCCCAAGACACATCTTACTGTGCATGGCTTCAGAGAGTAACTGAGCGCTTGGATCAAAATTCAGAGTTTCCAGAAAAACAAGGGCGAGAGATATTAATTTCAGAACACTTTTTTTTTTTCAGTAGGAAAGGGGGAAAGGAACCAAGACATGAGGCAAGATCTGGAGGGTGCTGGTTTTAGTTTGGACAGAAGAGGAGCATGCAAAGGTACAAAAGAAAGAGTGATCTGAGGAGCGGGGAGGGAGACAAGACAGTATGTTACCACAGATGCACAGAGAAGAGTGATCCCAAGGGGCGGGAGGCTGAGGGGCAGAGTTCAGCTGCGACTGAGAGATCGATTATGGTCACGGCAGAGATCTGTCTCCTGTAAATCAGACTTGAGTGGAAGGGCTGCCAGTGACATTGTGATAGATTAGAGTAGATATGAACAGAGCACTGGAAACCCCTGCATGATCTGTCCTTAGAAATTGGACGAGAATCTATACAGATGGAGTAGTGGAGGACATCAACAAAACAGGAGTAGTATGTAGGATGAAAAGCAACGACTCCAGACAGATGATAAAAAGGAGATCACCAAAGGTCACAGGTCGCTAAAAATGCAAGGTAAGAACTGACCTTTGAAGATACAAGAGTCAGGTGCTGCAACATGAAAAGGTAATAGTTAGGAGCTGGCATGGGCAGATCTGGGTGGGTGACATTTGGTAGACCCCATTCCAAACCCTACCCCCAAGGTGTCTAGGGCTGGCCCTCCCCTGGAGTCACCTCAGTCCAGACTCCTCCCCTAAAATCTCACCATTGGCTATTCCACCCCTGAAGGCACTAAACGCCCCCACCTCTGGATTCACCTTGTGGTTTCTTTTTTTTTTTTTTTTCTGTTCTCCTGGGGTCACCCAGCGATGCTTTGCGCAGATTAAACCTGGATTTGTTAATTTGGTCTGATTGGCTTATTGCATCACCAGCAGTGGGTATCCATTAACCGGGATTTTTAAACAGGTGAGATGATGAGAGTTTCTTCTGAAGACCTCTTATTCAGTGACAAAGCACTATCATAAGACTGGAGGTGAGAGTAAAATCAGCAGGAGAGGAGACTAAGAGTTTGAAGTGGCTGAGGATGCACCAAGATTACGAGTGAATGCTGACAAGATTGGAGTTTCTATGTGAGCCCTGATACAACTACATTTTCATTCCACCTGACCATCTGACTTTCCCTGGTAAGGCCAATTACTCAGGGACAAATGTACACAGGGTAGATAATTGAGTTCATCCAAGACTGGGATGAGTACCATGGAGGGAAAGAAACAGGATAGTGGTAATGTTTTCCCAAAACTTATCATCACAGGCTACACAATTTAACTTGTGCCAAAAACCAGAGGAAAGGTAGGAGATGGCATAAAACCAGGCATGGGGGGCGATGGAATCAATTAATTATGCCACAATAAAGTGTTTTTCCAATGAGGGTAGGTGAGCTAGGAAAAAGAAAACATTTTGTGCCTAAATAACACCTTTAAGATTTCAAACCCTGCTTCATTTGTAACAACAGCAACAAGGCTTAGCCATTACCAGATAAGTCATCGCCACAAGACTGTGTCGACATGAGAAACGCTGTGTGAGCATCTGTGGGCAAGTGGAGACCACAAGTTGACCAGACTGAAACAGTGGCGTTGTGAGGAGGTTCCACCTAGCAGGTGGAGAAACGGGGATAACAACAGCAACCTGCTTGAAGAGAAAGAGCGAGCCGAGACTTCAGCTGGGAAGAAGCGAGAGACGGAGGCCCCAGGAGCAGGAAGAAGGCTGCATACAGTGTGTGGAACTCAACTGTGGCAGAGACTTTGAAAGAAGGGTAAGCAACGGTCCTAGGTTGAAAATGGAAAACAACGAGATTTTTACCAACCCTGGGACTTGAAATCTGTGGTGGGGTGGGGCCCAGATATTTCACCTGGACCAACCTAAAGAAAAAGTAGGTTCCACACAGAACGTTTAGCTTCCTCAAGGCAAGAAAAATGTGTTAAGTGCCCATAATGTAAAAGGCAGCTTTATACAATGATTAAGAACGTAACACTATGGGCTTCTGACAGATTGGCTGTGATTTAGTTACTAAGTGTGTGGAGGCTAGGTCTTCATTTCTACAACAGAAACAATAACGAAAGTACCAAACACTCTGGGGAAAATCAACAAAGCCAAAAGGTACGTAGAAAAAAATGACAAGGTGATTCATATGGGATAAAAAGGATTAATTTCTTTATACATAAAATGCTTACGAGCTTTGCAGCCTTTTGGCTGAGATTAAGTGGAAAAGGTTCATATAAATCAACAGGGGGAAATGGCAAACCTAAATAGAAAAATGATTTCATGGGAAAAGAAATTGAATTGGCTTTTAGACATGTGAAAACACACTCAAACAAGAACGGGTCAAAGTAGGAAGACGCTATTTCCCTCCACATGTGCCACTAACGTGCTTGTACCCATAGAAAAGGCTGGTACAGACGGACAGCGCAGAGCACTTTCCTGGTTATGGCACAAGGAGGGGTATATACAGTATTGAAATACATCACTGTTCGGTAATAACATATTCTTATATACTCATAACATTAGGACAGAGTAATTTCCTTACAAGGGGGTTTTCCTCTAATCATATGAGTGAGTCATGTTCGCAAAGATAATGTTAAGTATGAAAATATTTAATGGAACATTGTTGTAGGAGCTAACCCAGGAAAACACCCTGGGATTCAGCAGTGTTGGCCAGGGTTAAAGTATGGCCCAGCAACAGAGGCACAGAAGACAAGCAAGACTAAGGCTTTCCATGTGTGCCCTCACAGACACACATCCAACACACACGGTGGAAAAGAAGATCTTAGAAACATCCGGTATCTCTGGTCATATATGAATGTAAATAATGTGATAAATGGTCACAACAAATAAACTCAAAGGCAATCTTAAGAAACAGGAAAAAGTCTAAGGAGAGCCACTGGAGTTGGGGATAGGCAAGGGGCGGGTGTCATCCCAGTCAGTAATTTCTCAGAAAAAAAATTGAGTTTTTATCGTGTGCTATACATTTTTTACACTGTGCTTTAATTTTGTTTTCTCAACATAAAGCTGTTGTCATTTTATTTTCTTTTGTTTAATTTCACATAGGAACTTCCTCAGGTGCTCAGACTGGCCTCAAACTCACAACCATCCTAAACTCAGTTTCCTCAGTATCTGGGGGAATTCTCCACAGTCTGCAGATTTTTACGAAACTCCTAGAAAACACTTCCTATTTGCTGCTATAGTTATGAAAAGTTTTCTGCCACTGCTATCACTATGGCTGTGACCTTGTTAGATTACAGTAACAACTAAGAGGGAATTATGCCCAGGATCTTTCTCCCATACTCAGAAATCACCTTCAAAAGGTGCCAGCCACCCCACTATTGTAAAACTCTACTGTCTTCCATTCTACTTGGCATCACACCCATTAGCAACTGTTAACTAACTGCCCACTTCAGATTTCCTTATCTGTTTTCAATATCCTCCCTGAAGCGCTAATCACCTTCTAGGATAACCAAGACACCTCAGGCAGGCATGGATTCCTCCAGAGTGTTGTGGGGGCCACACCTCCTAGTCTTGTCTGATGGCTCAGTTTGCCATGACATAGTCTGAGAATTCTAAATGACTACTAAGTCTTGGTTTATTTCTTTTTAAAGCATAATTTTGGGGGTTGGGAAAACGGCCCAATAGTGGGAGTGCTTGCTCAGCAAGTGTGAAGATCTGAGTTCAAATCTCCAGATAAAAGCCAGGCATGGCTGAATGTGCTTGCAACCCCAGCACTGCAGAATCCACATAGGTGAACTGTGAAAGCTAGCTAGCCTAGCAGAGTAGGTGACAGACAAGTGAATTGTGAAAGCTAGTTAGCCAAGCAGCATAGGTGAAGGGTGAACATCTGAGTTCAATAAAAGACCCTGAGTCAAGACAGTAAGGTAAACAGTGATAGAAGACACTGTCCTGGCCTGGCCAATGTCTGAATAAGTGGTGGTAGTGTGCGTGCGTGCGTGCGTGCGTGCGTGCCTGTGTGCCTGTGTGTGCCTGTGTGTGTGTGTGTGTGTGTGTGTGTGTGTGTGTATGGCATGTGTGTATGGTATGCTAGTAGTTGTTTATGAGGCCAAATTTAATTTAATATGTGTTTCTGAGGCGAAATCTCTGCCATTCTTCTGGGTTCTATTGTGCCAGTTGTCAAAAAACAAAGCCTGGATAATTCCAGGCTGAAGGTTTTTAACTGATATTTTCTGCTGTAATTGTCAGGAACATCCCATGCACAGTTGAAAGACAGAAATATTTTCTGTAATGTAGACCATTAAGACACAGTTATTAACTCGTCTTTATGAATTGCTTAATCCTTAAGTTATTTATCTCCTGTCTTACTTGTTGTGATCTGAAAGTGGTATGTTAAAATCTGCAGCTGGAATTATGTTTCCACTGGTCTGCCTGCTTGTGTAAAGATTGGTTTTGGTTTTATGTTTTAGTGCTGAACTTGGATTTGTATATTTGATGTCTTTATTATAGATTCTATCTTTCATCAATATTAAGTGACTATTCTCATTTCTTTTAATGCTTTTGCTCATGACTTTGTTTTTAATAGCTATTAATAGCACTTCCTCAGCATTGTTGTCTATTGAGATTTGTCTGCTTTATCCTTAATTATTTCTGAAACTTTTTGTTTGTTTGTTTTTGTTATACCTTGTTCCCGAAGATTTTATTAGAAGTGTAGAATTGAATCTTATAAAAGGAAGTTAAATGATTAAGGTTTAATTTATACCAGATAATCAATCACCTTTATCTCATATTTGCCTTCTCATATTTTAAACTACCTTACCAACTTCTTTTTTGTTTTTGTTTTTCAAGACAGGGTTTCTCTGTATTGTTTTGGAGCCTGTCCTGGAACTGTCTCGGTAGACCAGGCTGGTCTCAAACTCAAAGAGATCCCCCTGCCTCTGCTTCTGCCTCCCGAGTGCTGGGATTAAAGGTGTGCGCCACCACCGCCCCACCCTTACCAACTTTTTATCAGCTAATTTTGAGGAAGATTGTGAGCCAGATATGGCACTATGTGCCTAGAATCTGAACACTTAAAAGCTAAGGGAAAAAGTCAAAGTTCAAGACCAACATGAGCTGCATAGGTAATTTGAAGCTAGATTAGACTGCATGAGAACCTGCTCAACACACACAAAAATACAATAGTGATGTTTACTCTGCTATGGTAAGTTGGAAGGACAACCTTCAATTCCATCAGTATTTACCTATTGGATATTCAAAGACAGAATCCATCTGTATTCCCTACCCATATGTACATGCCACTAATGTAAGTAGGTATGTAACATTATACAGATACATGACAGATGTTTACACAGTAGATGGATAAGGGATTGCAGTGGCATCTTGTTCCAATAACTGACTTGAGGTAATGACCTTAGGATGTGGATTCAGTGTGTGGATGTGACCCCTTATAAGGAACAGGAGGGGCTTCCTCACTCTCTTGGGTTGTGATCTCAGCTCTTCCTTATAAGGGGTCACATCTGCACACTGAAGCCACTCCCTAAGTCCATGACCTCAAGTATATTGGCAGAACAAGATGCCACTATAATGTATAGATAGATGGTAGATGGATAGATAGATGGATGGATGGATGGATAGATAATAGATACATATATACATTCATACTGACAGAAGGATGGATGGATAGATCGGTAGATAGATAGATAGATAGATAGATAGATAGACAGACAGACAGACAGATAGGTAGATAGATAGATAGATAGATAGATAGATAGATAGATAGATAGATAGATAGATTAAAGCCACATGGAAACCCACCACTGTAGAAGACTCCTAAAATATATTCATTTATGAAAGGAATTTAAATGGAGTCAACATATAATGCAGGAGCTAATGCCCCAATTGGATATCTTCTGCCATACAGCAACACCTTCAGTGATAGAAATGGGCTAAAGCTTGTTGAGTCATTGGACAAAGGGGTTCCATAGATACCCACAGACATCATATGCTATTGCCGAGGCTATTTGTTCTTCTCCAGAATATGATGAAGTTAACACTTATGTCATTGAATATGGAGAAATTGAACTGATGTCGAACTAAAAGCTTTACCCCTACTGACTAGTGTTCATGGTGCTGGAAGATACTCTGCATGCTACCAGAGGAAGAAAGTAATCATCAATATCTCTCAGCTATATGTATGGATACATAGATGACAGATAGATAGATAGATAGATAGATCGATAGATAGATAGATAGATAGATAGATAGATAGATAGATAGATAGATAGATAGATGGATAGATGACAAGGAAGTCAGATAAATAGAACAAAGAAACAGAATAGATACAAATGATAGATGATAAGAGATTATTAGATAGATGATGATAAGGGACAAACAGATGACAGCAGACATAGAGTAATATGTGTGAAATCTGAAATTCAATGTGTTTCATGCCTCCCCAGTCTCAATTTACCACATAAGATTCAGTGTGAGCTCACTGCACCATCCTACCTCCATTTCAATGAAACATTTTCTTTTTAATGTATTCGGCTTTCACCACTTATTTATATAAAGCAATGATTACAGTTTCATTCTGAGAGTATAAGCTTCATGATTCATTTCCAAGTTTTTTTTAAAATAATGACTCCATTACTAGACTCTTTAGACCACATGCCAGTATTTGAAGAGCGTCTTCCCTGTCTGTATTTCCAATGTTTAGATTTGACTGAACATCAGACACAAGTAACACTTTAAATAGGTCTTCTTTTAAATCCACATAATCTCCTCCATCAAACCACAGTGTGATTTTTCTTTTAGCTTTTAATACCCTCTTTTACAGGACAAAACTCTGATTTGTTTCTATATGATTATACTTTCTTTCCATTTGTATTCCTCCTCTATGGAATTTTGTTGAATTTTAAGATTTTTGCCTTTGGGGAAAAGATCACAGGATTCACTTGAGTGTAATATTACTAAGGTAATCTGCAGTCTTTGATCTACAGGTGAGTATACATTATCTAATTCTTTATCATAATATTTACTATCTTGCATCATTCTCCATATTCCCTGGAAAAGTGAGCAGAGAACGGTTTTGAACCAGTGATGTCAGGGTCATGGGGCATGGATGACTTGTTCAGCTGCTTTGCTTCTGCTCTTTCATTTTTCTGGGTCTAAAATAGGAAGGCAGGTCTGCATGAAGGAAACCTAACCCAGCTTCCATGAAAAGTCATCACATAGATTTGTCAAATTAGATTCTCTTACTTTCTCTTCCTGGTCTCTGATTCTATAAATGTTTATGCTAGGAAACTGAGGCAAACTAGAGTCCCTGTATGACATCTGTTGCAAATAAAAGTCCTAATTCCTCACATACATGAAATCACTATAGGCTCTTCCCTGCCCATGCTTGGCACAACTCCAGACTCTGGTGGGGACAATGAGGCCAGTGAGAAGCTGCTGAGGGTAAAACAGGACTCACCCCTCACAGTACAGCTGCTGTGCTCACAAAAGGCCATCTCACGGCTAGCTGGCACAGACTTTGTTCCATGTTAGACACTGAGGATGGGAGCAGTTGGAGGATACCCTTTTCCTATTATCTGTGCTCATCAAATGGAAACTAAGATATCAATTCCACAGCTGTGTCTCTCAATCTACCCATAGGCATCAGAGTCAATAACAGACTCTGAGAAACTTTTCAGTCATTCTTAGCTTATAGCTCAAGCATTCAGTTGTTTGCTGAATGCTCTTAAAACTTCACCCACAGATTATAACTCATACAATGGAGTAGCCTTGTTTTCTTTTGATTCTGCAAATTGGCCTTGCTTCAGAACTCTGAACCCTATGGCACACTGTGGGAAAAATGAAACTTTTGAGACAGAACAGATAGAAACGAGTGAAACAACCTCATTACGGACTTATAGGATAAAGGGCCACTTGGAGTCTCCTCGAATAGGAAGTTGTATCCTCTTCTTTACGATATTAAAGTGAAAGCAGGCATGTATAGAAGAAGAATATTTAGGAAGTTGATACATATCTTACACATGTGCTAGTGTGCCCTGGTTATCCTTAAGTCCTTCCATGTAAGATATAAAAGGGTACTTGGAAGAGCCTTGTAAAACCAAAGGGTAGATCATGAAAGGAGGTCTTCTTTCTTTTCACTTGTAAAAGCTACTAGGGTCATGTGCTCTGGAACTCTTGTCCCAGTTAGTTTTAGTCATTGACTTGACACAGCTTAAGGTCAACATTGAGGAAAGCCACCAATTAAGGACTTGCCTGTAACACACCAACCTTTGAGCATGTGAGTGAGGAGATTGTTAATTGATGCAGGAGAGACCAGCCCACTGTGGGTGGCACCATCCCTTAGGCAGGCGGTCCTGAACTATTTAAGAATACTGGCTAAGAATGAGCCTGTGAGTGAGCCTGCATGCATTGTTCTTCTATGATTGATGTGTCAAGTTCTTGCTTTAATTCCTGTATTGGAATTCCTCCAATTCTGGGCTGTGACCTACAAGTTTAAGCAAAATATACCCTTTCCTCCCCCAAGTTGCTTTTGTTCAGAGCACCTTATCACAGCAACAGAGATGAAACTAGAACACTATGCCTGCTATTGCTCCTGTGGAATTGGACTGTGTTGCATTTGGTACATAATATGAATGACTAAACATCTTATGAGCCATGTAATTCCCATAATCTCTGAGTGGCAAGGAACCCTAAATGAGGAAGAGTTAAGGAAAGCCTCAGACATAACTCTCCTGATACAGCCCATCAAATGATATCAACATAATACCAGACCTGAATGATTTAGCTCTTCCTTACAAATTCAATCTTTAAACCCCCATTGGTCAGTCTCAGAGATCCTGCATTCTGCTATATCACTGCCTCATTTATGCCCCACTAGGAAAATACAACAGTCAGCCGTCACCCTTATACTACAGATTCTCAGGCTCTGTTGTCCATCAGAATTATCCAGAAAGAATAAAAAGCATTCACTGTGGGTGGACTTTGTTAATGTATATTATGTCTCCAGGGTCTCTGCTTCCTACAACACAGTTTCTCAAATGTCAAAGTGTCTACATATAACCAAAGAGTCTTTTAACTGACCAAATATGGTCCCATAATTCTGAGAAAGTCCTTGGATTCTGCATTTCTCATAGGGTCTCTGATGGTGCCATCCTTGCTGGTCTCTGGACTACACATCAGGAAGCAAGGTTCTTCCTCTCCAGGAAGTACAGTTTAACAAAAACTCATCCTTGACTAACAAAGCTCAAAGCCTCCCCTTTCTCCACCCCCCTCAAATTCTTGTTTGTGAACTTCCAAAGGTTTATTTTATAAAAGAACTTTGGACTACTTCAGATGCAAAAGGAATTTAGGTACTTTTCTGTTTCTCAAAACCATTTTTCTTTGCTTAAACTAAGAGAAACTCCTTTCAAATTATTTCCACTGTCTTTGTACATTTGTCAACAAAAGACGATAAATACTTATCAGAGTACCGGAATTAATTGGTTGGACTTAGAGCTACAAAAATAATTTTCAGTAATAAATGCCTAAAAGGTAGAGAAATTTAAAAAAAGAACTGCATTTACTGTTTTTACCATATTTTCTCCACATTTTATATTTTGAAAATCAAAGCAAAAAACCATTACCTCCCCATGAAACCTTTCCTGTCTGCCCTGTCTGAATTGTGATCTCCTCTCATGTTCATTTCTTCTTTTTTCTCATCAGCCTTAAGCACCTTCATTTCTTCATTTCTCATCAACTACCCTTGAGCACCTAGCTGTGATACCTTACAAGGACTTCAAGCACCATGAGTTTGCCCAGCTAATTTTCTCCGACTAAGTACCTCCTGAAAACTAGTTAAGGAGGGAAGTGTTTACTCTGGATTACAGTTTGGAAATATCATCCATCATGGTGGAAAGATCATGGGGCAGCTGGTCACACAGTATCTGCAATTAAGAAAAAAGGAGAGAGATGGACGCTGGAGCTCACTTCTCTGTCTTCCTTCGATTCAGTCCAGGACCTCAGTCTATGGCATGGCACTGCCTGCATTCAGGGTTGAAATCCCCTGCTCTCTTAAACCTTTCTGGACACATACATACAGAGACAGAGGTGAGCACACACACACACACAAACACACACACACTCATATCATACTTATCCACAACAATAACAAATAAAATAAAATTGCTTTCAAATGATGTAGAAATAAAAGAATGAAGATGCTGTTATATTAAAACTGTTTACTTAAAGAGAAAGTACATTGCATGAACATAGGCTATGGTCACCTGAAATGTACACATGTGGGTAATAACGCATATTCCGGATAGCCAAGAGAAGGGGGAACCTTTGCTAAGACAAAAACAAATGAGGGTACACAATTCCTTGCTAATGCTGTCTGAGCCAGGGTCATCTCACTACAGCTTTGATGACGTTCATTTGCTCCTTGGAGGGTGGGGTACCCTCTTCCTCCATTTCTCAGGCTAAACACTATATCTACCTGCATATATCTTTGGCAAGCTTTATCTGCCAGGTTTTCTTACAATTTAACCGCACATCTTTAGGCTGTCATCTTTTATTTCTCCCACCCCTGTAAAGAATTGTTACTTAGCTACATTCCTTGTAGAAAATGCCAGGAACTTTCAGGCCAAAGAATGCTCTTACACAAGGAACTATTGATGTTTAAAATGAAAATACAATTCAAGTTAGAGTCCTGCAGCTGGGGAGACAAAAATAACAACTTACTTGGGAATTATAAATAAAAATCCCGATATTGCCCTGGACAGGACAAGAATAGGGAGAGAACCGTGCTGTGTCTGGCTCGGGTGTGTTATGTAGAGCTGCTTCTTGTGCCTAGCATCAGTCTGATTTAGAGCTATCCAGCCCTGCTATTCCAGCCTCTGGCACTCATGTCTGATAATCCCTCTGTTTATTGTTGTGTACCATTTGGCTATTAGAAGCTCCAACAGCTTACCTGCCAAAATAAGAGCCCCTAAAGGCTTCTACCACAAAGCTGAACAAACCAACAGATCAAGCCTTCAAAAAAGTGCCTTAGTTGCGAGTTTAAATTCATTATCTTCAGCATATATTGGCAATGGGGTAATCATCAGCAGATGATGGCTTCCAGTTTCCTACATTTCTCCTGAGTGTCTGCTGCCAACGTGGCAGCATGATGAAAGGGCCGGTCATTGTTGTGAGACAAACTGAGCTATCAGGGATAAAAGCAACACCCTTAGACATCAAAGGCATCATGCCTGTGAGAGGGCTAAGTAGACGCATTCAAAAATTCTCATTCTTTAAGAGAGAAGCCAAAACGCTGTCTGGAGTGATCACCTCATTAAGCCACCCACTGCAAAAAGGGTCTCAAAGACTTTCCCATCTTCTCCTCTGTTAGAGTTAAGCTTTGATCTCAGATGCCTGTGCCCGGGAGCCGCCTGCTGCTTCCACTAGCAAGGCCAGCAGAATGGAAACACAGGAAGAAAGTCGAGGTGTGAGGTCCCTCTCAACGTTTGGCCTTACGAAGTGAGTTGGCCAGAGACCTGTCAAGATTGTACAGACCGCAAGAAAAGAGCTTGAGAGGCGGAAGGCTGATTCATAAAAAGTCACTCAAAGGTATCCGTTCTTTTTCTCAGTTCCAAAATATTCTTTAATTTTTTTTGTTTTAACTTTGGCAGGTTGTGTACACTACTGTTAACTGTATGATCACTGTTATTATTAATACCACCTCTACCATATTAGAGTGATCAACTTATGCCAAACTTGCTGATGAATGTGTAATATACATTATCTGCTCATTATTAAGTAACCCCTATCACTCGCTATGGGCACTGGGACAACAGTCATGCTCACACCAGACATCATCCTTTCTCTAAAAAGAATACAAATATGATCTGTCTACTTATTTACCTACTGTTTGTAACACATCATATATTTTGAAAACGATGTAACTAAGGCTGGAGTTACACAATTGATAGGGGAAATATAAAAAATGTAATCCTGACTCCACAGCTGTCCACCTAACCTCATGGCTGCCCCGCCATCCTGAGGTTCTGACACGGCGTGGACACTCATTTGGGAGGGTTGAAAAAGGAGGTTAGGTCTTGGAATATCTTCTGGCTTTAGAATGAAGACTTGTTGGTTTTTAAGCAATTGGGTTAAGGAACCTCCCAGTTGTCAGAACAAAAGCACCAAACTGGCAAAATCCCTGAGACATTACATTTTCTCATTAGCACTGTTGGTCCTCCCACTCAGACATACTTGTAAAGACATATCCATCTCAGTCCTGAACAATGGGTCCTCAGATTTGTTTCCGATGCTCATTTAGTGTCACGGGATCCATGTACCTCATCGTGACACCTGGGATATGTACTCAAAAGGTGCTGCACTGTGTTAGGTGGGCTGAGTCACACCAGACGCTACACAAGACAAGAAATAACAGGCTGTGATATTACAAAAGAAATGCAGAAGAGGTACACTTTCAAAGCACACCCTGTAGTTTCCTGCAAAGTGTGGAGGATTCATTATTTTTTTTTTAGTGGCAGAGCCCCCATGGTGCCCTTGAAGCAGATAATGTCACATCAGCCCCGTGATCTGGCTTCCTAGTTCTTTTCAACTCCAAAATCGACTCCCGAGAAACTGGACTTTCAAAATGACAGTAAAAAACAAGTAAAGAATTCTAGTCTGAAGTCCATCGAGCATCCTCAAACATCGAGACTACCACTTTCACAAACTTCCTTTGACTGTTATTTTGCCTTTTTGAGACAGATGTCATACAACCAAGAATGATTTTTAACTCCTGCTTGACCTGCTTCCTCCTCCAGACACCTTTCTTAGACAGGCATTTTACCTCCTGGAAATTGTCTGTGTCTATTAAATGGGGAAGTCGCAAAGGAGAAAGGATAGGACACTGCGTGGGTATTAGCATAGTCCACTTCCAAGGAATCGTCATTTCACTTAATGTCCTATACCAGAATCCCCAGCAGCGTATACACACCATGAGGCTACTTTAGTAAAACAGCATGAGCCCCAGGAAGTAGATAGTGCAAGGTGTGAATGAACATTCCTGTCGCTTAAGAATTAGTTTGTCCCTTGGGTTTAACTGACTGTAAATCCCTCAAACAACACCCACATTCTCCAAGAGTAACTAGGCGTCTGAAGATGGAAAAAAAATTAGTACAAAGTGAAGATGCAGAGACCTACAGACCACTGACTGTGTGGCCAACATTGTACCTAGTTGTTTTGCCTTTGGAAAAGCTCACAGTAACCTGAATGAAGCTTAACATGGTGGCATGACTTCCCCAGAGCCTCCCAGGCAGGATACAGAGAAACTGACTTGGCATCTTGAGTTGTTGCCAAAATCCGTATATTTCCAATATTCTCTTAATATTTTTAATCAGTGAGTGCCAAGCTGTAACACCAAACATGTCAGTAAAGATGGCAGAAATACATGAATAATGCTTCACACTAAAAATCAACTGAATTTAAACCTTTAAAAATAAATGCATGTCCATCAAATGTCATGTGAACTAGTGGGCTTAACTGAATAGCATGAGGTCAGTTTCACAGTTGGAATCATCAGACTATAATTGTTTCTTCCATGGCCCTCTCCTGCAGAGCAGCACAACCAACCTAGAAGCCAAATTCTCACAAGACTCCTTTGAGTGTTTCAAGAGGGGTGGACACTGATCCACCGAGCCCTCGCCATGAATGCAAGGTGTAGTGTGTAATCATATTCAGTGCAGCATGCTGCTCTCAAGACCTGGGGAATAAACACACCTGATTCCAAATTCTTAGCCTTTCTGTACCTGAGAAGACTGTCAGTCACTGTTTCAACTTGGAATCCTGACAGCCAAATGAAGCATCTCCATGAGAAATCATTCTGGGTGAAGGTAGTTCCTGCCTGTGTTGTGTGGGATCCCATACAGACCCCTAAACTCTGCAGGAATGAGTATGTCTAGACACAACACACTCCCCATCCCATGGCCTTATTTCTAGTAGACTGGTCCCCAAGGCCTCATTTACCTAATAAGCATTAAGTACTTTAAGAGTTCCTGGGGGCCGGCCCTGAAAGAAACTTAAGAGTCCTAAAAAGGCAGAAACACTGGGTGAACAGAGCCACAGAGGTTAATCTCACTCACTTGTAACTACACTGCTCAACATGTGGAGCACGTGGATCCTGCATCTGTGGGTCAGCCCCACGTTCTCTGTAGCCCAACAGTTAGACATTGCCTTCCCCAACATGGCCCAAGGCTGACCTCAAACATCCAATGCTCCTGCCTCAACCTCTCAAGCAAGGAAACAACAAGTGTGTGCCACCAGGCTGGATTCTTCTCTCCACTCGAGGCATCCCCAGTAATCGTTTCTAATTTATCTTTCACACGTGTAGTTATGGTTCTGTGTTTGCATGTGAGTTGTCACTATGTGCGTATGTATATTTTAAAATTTAAAGATCAAAGAGACAAGAATGAGAGTCAACCCTGAAAGAGGATTTTTATATGTATTCTAGTCAGTCAGTCGATTCTGATCTTTATAAAATTACCAATTCCTCCTACTGAAAAGAATAGAAAACTGAGGCTCAACTCAGAAAGCACTACTTGAAACCAGATTCTACTCAAAATTAACATGAGGGCTCTGGACAAATTAGTTAAGTCTCACTGGTTATGCCTAAGACAGTCAGAGCATTTCATAGGGATTAAGTTGGCTAGCACAGGAAAGAGGTATAAAACAGATCAGACTCAGAAGGAACAACTTCCAGAAGTGGCAGCCATCACCTGCAGCATGCCTCAGTTCTGTGAATATAAAGATCTACGTGCTTCCTGATTACGGGCTCAGGACAGATGCAAAGTCTACCAGACAACAAAGTACACACTCCCTCCATGAGAACTTAATAGAAATGAGTGACAGAAAAAACTTAGTCCCACAATATGACCTGTTCAAGAATGTAGAGTGGATCAGAGTGGCAGCTCAATCAGTAAAGTGTTCACCACATGTGTGAGGAGAACAGAGTTTGATCCCCAACACCCATGTAAAGCCAAGGGCAGCAAGGAAATCTATCCTGGCCCGGGAGAGCTTGAGACAGTGTAGCCAGTGCAGCCAGAGTGAGCTCTGAGTATAAGATGACCTCAAAAATAAGG